TAATATTTTTTCCTAGGCACTGAAGAGGACTTAAGATACAAACCCCTGATTTGCTGGGGTGTGCAACCCAACTTACTTTGGCTATTTCTTATTTAACTTCTTTTTTGTATACAGCTTAAACTCTCCACACTAGGTCATTCAAGTCTTGAGTCACCAGAAAAAAGAAGTCGCTGTTTAAAGTATGGCAGAAAACCAAAAGTTCAGACAGCTGCAATGAAGGATTAGTTGTGGGTTTTTCTCACTGCCTTGCTACAAACTGCATCACAGCTCTATGTTCAAACATTATTAAATGGGAATGTTTTCTCTGGCACTGACTACTTCTACCCACAGTTTAAGTATTGAATTTTTTTAACTGAAGTAGCTTTGGTTTACAGCTCACATTAGAACTTAAAAACATATTTCCATAGTAGCTGGCATATGCAGGCAACTGTTTATTCTCAGTACCAGCCATAATAAACACTTGTACTTTCATAATCCAACAAATGTTTGTCTAATCACAACTCCATTTTCAGAGCTGTAAAATTTGTGTGCTATTTAAACCATTTTTCATGAAGACCCTCTAGAAATTGAAAGATTTCCTAAGTTTGCCTTCATTATCAATATAGACTGACAATTCACTGTAAAGGATGTGAAGATACATGGTGGGTATTAATGGCAACAGTCTATTGAGAAAAAGCTCTGCAAAGCAGGATATGCTATAGGATTTTCAGGGGAATAGCTAGTCTTGAGGAGACCCACCTTTAATTCTACCTCAAACTTACTCTGACAAGTATGAAAAATGGCACCTCCTTGGTTCGACAGGCTTTCCAGGTGAATTGAGAACAGCATCCAACTAACATTTGGGTTTCTATTTTAGCATTCCAAAGCAGTAAAGCTTGCTTGGAAAATGGAGCAATTTGAATTTACTTTTGGCTCATGCTCTGTCAACAGAAGCAATGAAGGTCTACTTGCAGAATCACTACAGTGAAAGAAAGGGCCCAGCAGGACATTTGAATTCCCATTGAATTTGACAGAACTGATAATTCTAAAAGTATTTGTTACTGACTTTATATACTGACTTTATTTGCTATCAGAATTGCCAAAACACGGAAGTATGAAGCCTGCAATGCTGTTTTATGGGAATAGAATTAAACATCAAGGCAAAAAATCACTACCACCCTTCTTAATTTTCTAATTAATATTGCTGTTTATAAGGATGAATTAGCAAGAAGCTGGTAATTCATGAAGGACCACTATCAGTGAGAGCAGGTATTAATTTGAAAAAGATTACATGCTTAGCACAGTCTGTCAGATATGCTGATTTCCAGCCTGTGAATCTCTTCCCTTGCCCAAGCTTTGGTCTTATATAAGAAAGCTTGTCCTGACAGCCAGCAGTCACGTTTCTCACATAACCAAATATCCACTTCAGTGCGCCAGCATTTGTGACTCAGTTTAATCTTCAGCTTTCAAGCAGTTCCCCACCACACAGGACCCTATGCAACACGAGACCAAGCACAGGACTCAGATTGCGTGCAGACCCTTATGCTAGCCATCTGCCAGAAGATGGACTTCACTCCCTCCTTCACCTCTGAGTGGTGACTTAACGACATGTTCAAAATTATTGCAGACTTGCTTGTGGGCAGCAATGGAGGATCAGAAGCCAACAGCAGCTGCCCAAATAGCCATCTTCATTACTAGAAATGTGAGCAATTATTAAAAAGCATAATTGTACAGCTCTACAACAAGCAATACCACCACTGAGGTCAATATGAATTTCATCTCTGTGGGTCAGCGGACATACGGTACCAATGCTGCATTCAAGTCAGTCACGTGAGCATGGTGGCTTCAACAAAATGACGCTTCTCTGAGCATCAGCATCCTACTGTAAGACTTGTAAAAAAAAGAAATGGAGACAAAATCTAAGTATCATGTTGGATTAGGCAGAAGCTGCTAACATCTGAGGCAGACAACTCACAACTGCAAGAATTTGAATTTGGGGTGGCGGAAGAGAGGCAAGAACCATATTCCCACAGCCTCCCAAGAAGAGCTGGCAGGATCAGAGAAGTGGAAGAAAAGACACTAATTTATTGCAGTCACATGTAAATGTTGGCATTTAACAATAGCAGCAGCAAAAGAAAAATCAGTTAAAAGAACCTGAGAATGCTGAAAAAAGCCACAATAAATACTGAATAACTGGAAGAGGAGCTACTTCTCATTAGAAAAGAACAAGGGTTTGAGAACTACTTGTACTTACTAAGATTGAACTGGCTTGGGACCATATGTAGTGGAAATTAAGAAAGCCAGAAAAAATCCACACTTGAACAAAATGAAAAAGGGATCACAGTGCCATTTCAGGAGGCCACAAGAGTATCAGTTGCCTCCTCAAGTTAAATGGAATGATAAAGGACATCAGACTTACTTAATGTAAGCTTAAGAAAAATAAATTATTGCCTAATGGACATCTTACTAAATCATGAAATCTCCACCTGAGAAGGCACAATGGCAGGAGATTTTAGCTGTAAGGTCGACAGCTGAGGAAATGACTGAACATGAAAAGAGATCAGCTTAGGAAGCCTTAAAGACAGAATCACAAGCTTACCAGAAAATTGATAATACCTGAGAGACTTGCCATAGTTGAGTAACTGTTTGATGAAGAAGAAAAATTAGGGCTCACTGGTGCTAAATGTATCCCCAGTGTAACCCATTTAAGTCAAATGAATCACAGAACAGGTTAACTCTGGTGCTCAGTGTTTTACTGGTGGAATGAAAATATTACAGTATTTTATCACATAGTTTGTTCTTTAAAAAAGATTATAGCAATCTCCAACAATTACTGCTGGAGAGGGGAAGGGAGTTCTTCAACTGGAAAGAAACAATTCTGGGTGGCAAACCAAAGAGATCCTGGAACTGATTTTCTGCCATCTCACACCTACTGTAGTCGATGCTACTTGCTTCACCAACAGGCAAAATCTGATTAGCAGCTTTATGCACCCATTATTTCCACACAAGATGTATAGTTATGGAAAACCTCAGGCCCAGGAACTTGATTTATAGGCACCTCTTTTGGAAGTCTTCAAGGTTTTGCATCACAGTACCTACAGGCAGCACGCACGAGCTAGGGCGCCACAGAAACAGCCAGTCTTCAGTGCCTGGCAGAGCTCCTGTCAGTTTGGTAAATGGTGATAAGAAAAAACCAGAAATGTTGTAAAATGAATGCAATGTAGGTGGACACATCCACCTTCAATCAGCTCCATGCCCTTTAGTGGTGGGATTTCTGGATTCAAAAGCTAGAGTATCAAAGATGAAGTTATTTGGGCATATGACCTTAGTATCAACGACTGAGCTCCTGAGGAGGAAATCTGGAGTTGTCCTACGCAGGCTGGAAAGCAGAAGGACAAAAGAAGGCCTCCAGAGGAGTGCCTTCTCCCTTGAGCAGACACACACCTTCAGCAAGAGAAAACCAGGGACAAACTCGAGAAGCTGCCCCAGCTGGGTATTATAATACAAGCATTTCATGGGGAAGTAAGTGATGGTTTACAATCAAGTGCTTGTAAGTTTTAAAAGCAAAGTAAAATTCTTACATAAAATTACAACAAATAGAGTGCCAATACTGTGTGAACAAAAAGCGTAAGGAAATCTGATACACCCTCTGTATGTTCAAGGCATACAGCAAGCCAGATTCTGGTCTCTCCCTCTCTCTCCACAAGCGGAGCTGGGTAAATCTCCTGAAGTTAAAAGGCTCTTGACAGATTTTCACTTTGAGACTGAAACAGTCTGTCCATTGACTTCAGTGGATTAGTTGCAATTTACACCAGAGAAGTTTAAAAACCCAATCTGATCTTCCAAACATCTTTCACACAACGTTAACATTTTAAAATGTTTCATTGCTGTCACAAGCCAGAGGACGCTTAAACCTGATCCTGTGGATTCCCCTTCTTATTCTCTGTAGTCACTCAGTAGTGTAGGCACTACGCTTCTGCAGCATGCATAAGCTATAGCAGCAACAGCTCGGCAAGGTAGTGTAGATCATGTTTTGCCTTTCTAAAAACCTGAAGCAGATTTTGGTTTTGCAGTTCATTTCCATTCAGCTGAATTTGGCTTCAGTCATAAAAGCACTGAATGCTCTCATCTCCCCTTGATGTAAGTGGAATAAAGCTATTTGCAGGACTTGATCCTTAAAAACAAAAGAGGAAAGCAAAGGATGAAATCCTGGATCCTCCTCTGAGGTCAAAGGGATTTCTGCTCTTCACTTGTGTTCTGCACTAATTCACTACTCATCCCTAACACAGTATTTTTCAGGCCTTCAAAGTACTTCTTTATTGGACCCTGCCATATAGTTAATAAAAATGTCACGAATTCACATGCAAATATTTTTCATAATTCCATTTAAATTGCCTCAGTCTCCACTAGTACTTACTTTTGGATGAAAACTATGCAGATAACGCCACCAGACTGAAAAAAAAAAAGCAGCAAACTGTTTTCTACAGAAGAGAACACTAAATACATTGATTATCGTTACTTTATAGAAGATTGGCCCCACCTCATACAGGAACCACAAGTTGTTTCAACAGAAAGAGTAAGAATTGGTAGGAAGAAGGAATTTTTTATTATTCAGTTCGAAGTGACCTCAGTTTCACATCATGAAATTTAATTTATTTTTTAAGAAAGACCAACACTGCTTACAGAATTCTTTAAGCAATTTTTACAAGATCACTAGTTGTGCTTTGTTGTTCATTTTATTACAGCTATTTAAATGTATCTTAACATCTTTCAGGTGCACTGGGATTCCGTATCACTTTATTCATCATAGCAGAAAAAGACATCTATAAATAATAAAATACATAGATCAGAAAGTCTAAAGGAACTGTTATGTCTTCTGTGGCTCATAATCTGACAAAAGTTCTTCAGAATTTAACTGTTACAACCTAGAAGAACAACACTGAAATGAGGAACCTTAGTGTTAGCCCAGGAAATACAAATAGTCTGTTTTGTTGTGTCTCTGTAAAGGAAAGAAGGCTCAAGAGGAAAACCCATATGCACCGTGTAAACGCACAGTGAAAAGCCATGCTCACGGAAGAGTCAGTGCAGCATGGAAGTGATCTTTCAAGAGTGGAGCTTTTGACAGAAGGTGGAGCTTAAAGGAGCAGCTTTGAGGTATATCTAACTGGAACTACAGGTGACCAAAAACAATAGTAAGGAGCTATGGTGAGTCTTCACTTTGTTAAAATTCTTTGTGGTGACTTCACTCATTAGGATTCCTTCTTTTCCTCCACTTCTAACAGCTCATCAAGGAATTCCACAACTTCACCCTAGAAAGGATTAAATTTAACAGAAACAAGGTGACCCTGTACTGCAAAATCAGTGGAAAATTTTAACTATTTTAATCAAAACATAAACTGTAATAATAGGCGTCTGAATGTTTTTTAACACCCTTCATACAGAAGCTAGCACAAGCCTATAAAATGCAAGTAAATGGGCCCATACAGGGTAGCACAAGTACCTGCAGTGACATTCAGATCTTAAAAGAAGGAAATGTCACACTTTACAGTAAATCATCTTGTACTTTTTCAAGTATTGACAATGAAATCCTCAAACTTAGAAAGTAGAGTTATAAATGCTTAATGCACTTGTTAAATTTGGAAATTGTTAAAACACCATAAAACATTAAAGAATTTTAGAAAGCTTCAAAATTCAAAGCAAAAGTGTTTTGTAGAACCATAACTTTGACTTTGCATCTTTATGCCCTCTGTTACACCCGTCAACACAGACCTTCTCCATTTTCACATGCCATGCTTCAATGCAGCAAGAACATAAAGAACCAGAGATACTAGAGTGTTTTCCATACTGGAAACAAGGATGTTTGGTTTAGATTCAGCCCAGAAAATAATAAATAGAATAGAATAGAACAGAACAGAAATCATAATATGATGTAAATTATACTATATAATATATAATTGCCTGCCCATGGCAGGGGGGTTGGAACTAGATGATCTTTAAGGTCACCTCCAACCCAAACCATTCTGTGATTCTATGACTCTATTTACAAGCTCCACTCTGCTAATACAGTGTACCAACACAATATAACAACAGAACTTCCTTTATTTAAACTACTCCTAATGTAGTTATATGTCATATACCACAGTCAAATGTCTTCCTGCAGTGAAGCCTGAGTACTTTGGTATGATACAGCCCCACCGGCTGGAATTTACTGCCTTCTCAACCAAGCTACAGTAACTGAGCTAAAACTTGTAATCACTTTCAGCCCAAGGTAACACCTTCACTAGTGAAAAGCAAGCAGCTAACAGCAAATGTGCAGCAGCATCTCCGACTACTCAGAACTGACTGCAGCAGCCCATCTGCTGGCACCCTCAGAAATACCAACATTTTCCAGTTTGCCTTCCATGAACAGTTGAGAAACAACACTGCCTGAAACGGGTGACCCTGTGGGAATCCTTGTGCATATTGTCACTTTATGACACAACTCAAATACTGAGCTGTAAGAGAGATGTGGATGCTCAATGTTACATTTCTAACCTTTTATTCTAATAACTACAATGTTCTGTTAAACCGTTTTAACTGCGGGGTTTTTTAAACTTTCCTGTCCTTCCTTTCTCGACATAAACCTATGTTCTAAAAAGGTCATAAGATGTCATTTTGTTTTTTTCCAAAACAAACTGTCACTTTCTGATAGAAAAATATTCTGCCAGAAAATGTGATCAGCTCTTACTCAATCTCATGTTTAAAACAAAGAGAATTTGTAACAGTTATGTTGAAAGCAAGTCATCTTTGCTTGGATGCTCATTCTCCCTCTTCCCTTCACCCCCCATTCCAAGTCTTTGTGACCTGTATTAGGCTTCTAAGTCTTGATGAAGACTGCAAACAGTATTTTACAATCCTAATTAAATTTTAAGCACATTTTTGTCTAGAAAGGTATTCCTTAAGAAGACAGCACCCTCCAGATACATGCAGTATGAGACTCAGAATTTTACAGTTTTCTATTCCAGTGAGGAAAGGGCATTAAAACCTCTGTCAGTGACAATAATAAGAGGAAATAGAGAAATTTTGTCTATTTTGAATTCAATTGTACTATTGATATGGTGATTAAAGATCTTAACATCACATTTTTCAGAACTGTGATTAGCAAGGACAGAAATAATGAGAACTAAGCAAACAAAAATAAAAGCAGGAGGAAAGCTGGCTGAAATAACTGCTGCTCTTGTTCCCTGCTTCACAGTTCCATCTCAAAAGAGGTGTTGAGTTTTTGCAACTATGAAGTGGTTTTAGCAAGTCCTGAAGGATAGCAATTTGTTTTGCTTTGAATTTCTTCAAAACATCTAAGCATCCAATTCAATAAAAACACAAGAAAAAATGCCAGCACTTTCATATTCCCTACTTGTCTTCCTGGTTGCAGGAAATCTGGCAATTGGAAAACAGGCATTCGGCATTTCTGCATGTTTTCCTTTGTTAGAAGTATTTCGATTGCCAAAGGAGCCCAATCGTGGGAGGAACTCGACACCACTTCACAAATGCACATGAAGAAAATAGCCACTAGATTCAGCTGTCACTATACAAGCAGTTGAAAGTTACAGAAACAGAGACACAGAGGACTTCAGGTCAAGTTTTACAGCACAACGCCTAAAACTGTGGGCACAAGCATTTGGGTGCCTCTTGAAGGACTACAGACAGGCAGGTCCCATCAACTCTAACGGAGTTACGAGACTGGGAATACAGGTGTCTGCTACAGGAGTCCCAGATCTAATTCAGACTGATTCTTTTACACCTTGGGATCATAGTTTAATGAAAAAGTAACAAATATTAAAACGGATTTCTCTCCTCGGTCTACCTGCAAAGACAACCCTCAAAAGGTTATGTCTGAAAGGTAGGGTGAAAGGCGTAAACATCTGATTGGATGACCCAGAATTAAATATGAGGAAAACATGGGGATTTCAATACTGTACCTTTGATAACTCAACCGTACAGGAACTTAATTCATTCATATTATTGTCACGCTCATCAGTAAGATAGGATATTTCAGAAGACACAGAATTCAAGTTTTTTTCTTCTGGTATGTTTTCAAATCCAGAAACACATAAGAAGCCCAAGTTTAAAATGGAAAAGGATATTTAAAAGCAAAGTATTTGAAAAAAAAAAATTGACTGAGATCTGAAATTCCCAGTGTCTGAAATTGACCACTGAAGGCAAGTGTGACAGAAGCTGTTGTAGTCTGATGAGAAGTACTGGGGAGTAAGAGGGGTTGAAATACGGCAAAAATATAAAAATCGTTGCCAAAACAATATACATACAGAAAATATGCTGTAATGCAATGGAATAATTGCCTGGATGTTGGTTATTTTTGAAAAGGCAAAAACTCCAGATTAAAGACAAACAAAACCTGTAGTTAAAATATTTTTGCCTGCATGTTCATGGTCAGAATGTAAAATATTTGCAACGTATCCATAGCGTGGTTGGCAACCTAATGAAAAGGTGGTAACACTAGTCAGAAGAGCTGATCACATTGTCACACTAGCAGCTATGACCAGCTTGAGCACTCTCTTTGCCCCATTAGCACTCACTTGACACCACATCAGGCATTCTGCATGACTGCAGTCAGCAAATATTTCACAGGTGTTCATTCCAGGGAAAAAGCCTCCTGCCCGCTGGTATCTAATAACTTCATGCTGGCCTGCAGATCTGGAGTCTGAAATGATTCTCTGATACGATTTGAGCATTCAGTGTGACAGAATTCCTCCTGTTGTTGGCATGTTCTTTGGCTCTTACCTGCCTTAATAGGAAGGACATCAAATTTTACATGCAAAGTCAGCTGCAAACCCAGAATTCTTTCTGCTGCCAGCTACTAATAGGCGACAACAGCCATCCAGCTCTAATGCAGGTTACATAAATATGCTACTCAGACACAGTGCTGATGTAAATCAGAGTTGAGCAATATATGGCCCAAAGCGTGATGTAGCTGTCTGGCTGGTAGCTAGTAAATCAGTATGTGAAGTCTGACTAAGCTCAGGGAAGAGAAGGGTTTGTCGCCAGACCAGTACATGCCTGATAGGCAGCCAGCAGCTGGAAAGTAAGCACATGTGGGCTGCTTGGTCAGCTGCAGCGAAGCATGTCCTCATTAGCAAGCTGGCCCTCGCTCCACAGTCATTGCCTCCTGGTTTGCATTGGAGGCCAGGTACATGCTGCACGTACACAGCTCTGCCAGCACCCCATGACCTCCCTCCCTGTGCTGCCAACCTCTTTTCTCTCCCAATCCAGGGACAGTCAGTGGAAGGTGTGAGTGACACAGCAAGGGCGTATGGGAAAAGATGGGACAGGTATAGCCCAGAAATATGGGAGGCATGATACTGAACAGCAGAAGGGGAATGCTCCCAGACTGGTGTGCATGGTAGGAAGAATGAGAGAAGCTGATCGGATCAACTGGAGTCTCTAATTACCTGTCAGATATGCAAACTGAGCACCCCTGGCTTAGATTAACAACTGAACAGAGGCACAAACACAAAGAACAAGTTTTGTACCACAGTAAGTAAATCAAGGTTTACAGTACATGGGCTATAATAAAAAATAATTTACAAATACGAGTTCTTAGTCAATTCTGAATAAGCTAACCCAGGTTAGTGAGACTGGTGCACTACTAATAAGCAAAGTTAGAGCATTTGAAACAAAAAGTCATAGAGAAAAATGCAGAACTCCTCACTTATTACTGCACGCTGAGCGTCCAAGAGCAAGGTATGCATTGGGCCAGGGATTGCTGCTGGTCCTTCCTTATTCAGTATTGCTCGCTGCATTCACACATACAGAATACAACCTTTTAGAAGAAACATCTGTACTTTGGAGACTCCTAGCCAGCTATTGAAACAAACAGTAAAGAGGAAAAGCTACCAATACATGGCTCAGTTATGGCCCACTTGAAACTGACGGTCCAGCACCAACTTTTCTTTCGATGGCAGCATTTGAAATAGTTGCAAGCAGTAGCAGTTGTACTGCTCACTGACAGACCCAGGTGCTTTGCCGTTGGTTGCAAAGACTAAGCACTGCTTTCTGCGTAGCAAGTATTAGTCTTTCATGGGTCCTTGCCTCCACCTACAATCTGTTCTGTCCTTTCTCAGTGTGGACTGGAAAAGTTCTGGGAAAAAATAGCTTTCTTTCAATAACCTGTACTTTCCATGCAGATCTGCTGATGGTCTTTTCTATAGGGATTTTATATGCACTGCAGTGGGACAGCCTGTTCTTCAGGGAAGTAATAGAGAATATTAAAATAATAGTGTTGTAGAATGAATTAAGATCTACAGAAAAATACTATTACAGACATGCTTTCATGTGTGATTATCAATGAATGAGTAAGAAAGAGCCTTTACACGAACTCATCCAACAAACTAAGCCTTAAGAGACAATACACAGAGCAAGAATTGTCTGAATCTTTGTTTCCTTATAATCTACGACCTAGAAGGTAAATATTTAACCCACAAAATGTCCCCTAGCTGTCAGCTTCAGATTTTGCTAAAGTTTAAAGATCTTAATGACTGGAAACTTGTTCAATAGTGAGAGTAACAGATTTGATTCCCTTACATACTAGGTGTAGGCAGCAAGGTTGTGGTAGCAGGAAGGGTTGTGGGGAGCGGCCTCCGTGAGGTGAGGTCAGAGCTGCCATGTACCTAATGAGTAATTGTCCTGTAACTGCTCTGGTAACTACTTTGAGTAAGTAATAGGAGTAGTGAAAAAGAGTTAAGCTATAAAAAAACCCAGCAGATTTTGTTCAAGAATGAATAACCAGCTTGCAAGAGCGAAGACAAAGGTTTGACACAGACAACTGTGGAGGATATGTGTTCCATGGCCCTGATAGAGCCTGCACGTGCACACCACAGAGCCCACTGGCCAGAGGTATTTTGGAGGGACGACACACATTATTTCAGGATAACAGTAAGACATGTGCCAATGAGTGGCTCAGCCTGAAGGTTTATTCAGCCTTCGACCAAGAAAAAGTTCCTTGATCTAACCTTCAGTTAAAACACGAGCGTTCACTGTAACCACCTCAAAGCCCTCCCAGATCCTCCGTGAGTAGTACAGACCAGGCTGGACATTCCTTGCATTCTAGCAGGGGAAAAAAAATCCCTCAATTATTTTTGCAGAAAAATTATTTGGCCCTTAACTTGTTTGTTTTTCAGATACTTAGTCCACAGTGTGACCCACTGTCACATGCTTTTATTTTTTTTTTCCAATATTAAAAGATCTTAGTTGTTCTTTACATGTATGTTAACTATTTTCTCAAATAGTTTTCCATTTCATTTTTTAATTACATATTTTGAACATGTAACTGTTCTCTTCCCATATACTATGTGAGACTGCAGTACACTTCAGTTATTACAATAGTATTTTACAGTAATCCAATAAATGGGCTTTCCTCTTAACATTTTTATAATGCCTATAAAACATGAGTCAACCCAGTTTCAGAGCAACTTCAACATTGCTTCCATTGCACTGAAAACAGAAGCCTTCTAGTGGCTTTGTTTCTGAGTTCTGCTTTTGCTTTCTTGACTGCTTTAGGCTACATGTAGAAGCTTAAGAGAATCCAGGCAGGTAGAAATTCCTCCTAATGTCAGTACCTGCAACTTGGGAGTATCTGGACATTTAAGCCCAACCATACTTGCAGCTTTCTTTTTTCTTTAAAGAAGCATATGTGGACCAGGGACCATAACTATGCCAATTAGCTGCCAACTCTCTCCAAAACAGCTGCCACCAGCCCTTCTCAGTGCGGCGGTGCTATTGTAGCCGTGCTGGTCTGAGGTCGCAGGCAGGGCAGGGTTCACAGGTCTGCATTTACAACTTGCTGTTACGAGCGCGCTTGTATAAATCACTTGAACGTAGGTAAAAAGTGAGTTAATAAAGCTGAAAATATGCTGTTAGTGATTCCTGAGCAGAAAAACAGGCTGAATTCAGATTATTATTTGCTACCAGTAGCCCACCGGGCCCTTCTGCTTTGATGCTATTCTTTATGTTCTCGTTCCACCAGTCACATTTGTTCAACACTTATTCTCCTTTGCATCACACTCAGGAATGGAGCATTTGAGTTTCAGCTACTATACAAATGGATGCACACATTATATACAAATAAAAAGAACAAGATGCCAAAGAGGTAGGTCAAAGCTGCCAACAGTTTTTCACCTACTGATTAAGTACTGAAAGAAAAATCACTTTGTAAGATCATCCCAGACAAATACTTGTGGTTTTTATGTAACTTAGAACAGCTAAGTAGCTATCCCTGAAAAAAACGTCCTCAAGAACACTGGTTTTATGGGCTAGAAACATGTATCATACAATTAGCGTAGTGCTGAAATTACATCTACACTAGCTGAGTATCTGGCTTTTAATGGCATTTCAGTTTGCTGTTTCAATCTGTGCAATACTAGGAGTTGTATCTATTATAGCCTCTATGCATTACACATCTGAACAGAAATCAAAAAGCTTGACTATCTGTGGCTAAGATGAAAACACTGTGTAATGTTCTTTTAACTTCACTGTGGAAAACTGGAAGGGTATTTAATAATAATTACATTTTAAGAAAAAGTAATTTGTAGCTAGTTGGCACCAATATTCTCTGTCACCTCTACCGTGTTAAATGTTTGAACTAGAGTTTTTCATTTCCTTGTGGAAAAACCACGAACAGGACAGTATTTCTTGCAGTGACATATGCAAAAATCATTACTGCATGTTCCAGCCTCTGCAATTACTGCAATGTATTATTGGAAGAAGCCACATGTTCTCACTCACTTTGCTAATGGGATTTAAAAAGACACATGGATGATCTGGGATACAGGAGCACTGAGAAGTCTGAATAAAGTGAGATTCTCCACTTGGGAATAACTATATATTCACATAGGATGAGATCCTTTTCCCTTGAGTGAAGCAAAAGGATTGATGTAGCAAAAGAATGACTTTTTTCCTGCAGGTTTTTTTATGGGCTTGTTGGCTCACAAGCAACTTCACAGACAGCAAACATGGACCACAGAAACTCAGAAAAGGTATGTTCTATGGCCTAAGAAGCACATGGTTTAAATAAACACAGTGCACTAAAGAGAGAGGTTGCCTCCATCCTTAACAATTTTTAATAAAGCTTTTACTGTAACACCTTATCTGGGTTTTTCATCAGTTTTCAGCATTCCTATGGAATAAATTTTTCTATCGGTGCCAGGAGAAATATTAAAAAAAAATTCCACTTACACGACTAGGTCCTGCCCACATAGCAGAAACTGCAAGGTAGCGATTTTACCTTTGTGCTATTCCTGCTCTGTCTGGACTCCTTGGAAGGCTTCTGCAGCCAAAGACAAGTTCTGGTAGCCAGGGATTTATGAGTTCACTACCAAAAGACAGAGCCAAGCCAGAGGCATAGACAGCCTCCATCCCTCCCAGGTTCTTCAGCCCTAGTCAGGGAGGGCACAGAAGCCCTTCAGCTTTTTCCCAGGAGAGAAGAATGGGAACTTGCCCAATATGATGAGTGCAGGGTAGGGATATCTGTGGCGTGACCAGGCCCAGTAATTTTGGTTGTTTAACCTAAATACATAATCCAGTGTAATGCAACTTCCTTGTCACTTCCCCAAAAGTTTAATTGATGATTCCACTGTACTTCCCTCCTGCAGATCACAAGGTCATTTGTAACTGCACCAGTGAAACGGGCTACAGGAATGAATCCCAGCAAATGAATGCCTCTTTATTCTATACATATTGCTTGAGGCTGAAGATTGTTTCTATCATCCCTTCTTGTAACAACACATGGGGAAAGCCTTCACAACAGACTGCTTCTCCCCTCCCTTAATTAGCCATCCCTGTGTTTCAAAGCAGCAGTACGAAGGAAGAAAAAAACCTTACAAATTAAGCTTATGCCTAATGTAATAAAACATTATGGGCAAAGCCCAAGCCAACAAGGGAATATAAAAAAGTGCTCAAGTATTTCACACCCTGATGAAAATCCATACAGACTAGTCCTCATCTAAGCTTAACCTTACAATAAGCTTGTTAAACTGTCTTTCACAGAGTTTTATCACAATGGAAAGTCTTCCTGAATTCTAGTAACCTTGCAATAGAGTTGTTTTCAGGTCACTAGCATACTGAAGGCAGCACAGACATGTTATTAGCTCTCCACTATAAAATATTATCTCCCCCTATGTGTTAGATAACATAAAAATTGCAAATCTGATTTCATTTTTTAACATAAACCATCTTTCTCTTTTATAACTAAAAAAGCCCTCAGCAGTGCTCATTACAAGTACCCTGCCCCATGCCATAACTGAACATAGCTCTTCGCCAATGACAGTAATGAACTATTCCATCACCTGAAGGTTTTTTAAACCTTTAAATGAAAGGTTCCAAAAACAAAGCAAAACAAAAAATAATCCAAAGCATCCATGATTTATATTTTAATTTCAGCTGTGGGAGACAAAGAGATGCCCTTTCAAAAATTTAACTATTTTTCTTGCACAGAAAATCCACTTTACATATTTCCAGTCTAATATTAGTCATTATATGTTATTTGGCCACGAATTCCAAACATTCAAGAAGTAAGACTGGGTGACTAAAATGTTACTGTGCAGAAAAAAATAACAGATAACATGCCTTCCTTTTGACAAAAATTACAATTTAGGTGGTTACTTCTGGACAAAATTATAAGGATCTTTAAATCTAATTTAAACAACATTTCAGAAGAAAACCACCAGAAAAACATTAGGTTTAAATATATATACTACTTCTCTGCCCCCTGGTGTTATAGCATGCAAAGTGGATTTGCTTTTTTTGTGGGCTTAGTGCATTACATTTACCTTTGTGTTAACACTGTCCATATTTCTTTAAATGGTACCTGATGTTCCTTGGGTTTGTTTTTTATATTCCATTTACAAAAGAAAAATTTATGATAAATTGGTCACAGTTACAAGCAGATTTTTTCATACTAGCTAAATCCTGGAATTCCATCTATGTCTCATCTTCACTTCAATGTGATTGCTCATTTTTTGACCGTGATTTCCTTTCTAGAAAACTCACCTCATCATCATCCATCAGATGTTCCTTGGCGAATTCATACATTTCCAACTGGAGTGTGGTTATGTTGTGATATCGAACTGCCTCCTAGTAAAAACCAAGATTTCTATGTTACTTGAGGGTAGCAAGACAGGGAAGTGTCATCACATGTCACCTGAAACTATTCCAGTGAAGTCAGACCCAGACCTAGTAGGAGATAGATCGGAGGGGGGGGGGGGGGGGGGGGCGTGGTTACAATGTTTGAGAAAGGAAACAGCAGAACAGCAAGCAGCATATCCAATGTCCTCTGGGGATCTTTCTAAGCACAAGCTCCATTGGTGTGCAAAGAACAAAGCACTCTCCTCTTTCTCATGTTTCAAAGCATTGGCGAGTCTGAGAATAAGGAATGAGACCGCCAGAGCTGAGCAGCAGCCTGTGCCTGCATTCCAGCGGGCTTTGGACGTGAGAAAGGCTCTGTCTCCCTGTGCGCTGGCGTACGGCGGCAGGCAGTTCTGGGAAAAACAGACACCAAGCTATTTTGCATGATAATGACTCACCACCCAAGCCTGAGTCTGAGCTAGGGAAGTTTTGCACGGTCACCCACCTGTCCCTCCTCAATTCCCCGGCTGTTTGCCTGGGCAGCACAGTTCAGCTCAGTCGCTATTTGTGAATACCAACAATAATCTGCTTTGATTATCCCATTGAACTCTTTTTGCAGAAGAAAACAGGAGACTTCCTCTTTCACAAGAACATCTAAAGCTTAATGCCAGAGCCAAAAGCTGCTGTCACCCCGTTACCACTTTGTGAAAATAAACCAGAGGCATTACGGTTTTCGTGGCAAGTGATTAGGACAGCAAGCAACTTCTGTTCATAGTTACACGGATGAATATACAACAAAATGCAGCTGTGTGCGTTTAATATTTTATATTCAAAAATTAAATTATCTGTAGTCCCCAGCTCCTGAGAAGTTATCAATGAAACATTCAGAGTTGATGTGTAGGGCCCTTGTTCTGTCCTCTCTGCACATGTATGCCAAATCTGTCTGCGGTTTGCAGTTTTATACTTTCACTACCCCTCACTCCCACCACCGTCAAACGTTGCCTCCAATATGGCTATAAAGCACAGTTCTGTTCCCAAAAGCAGTGACAAAGGAGTGGTCCCTTTCCCTTGTGAGCTCAGACTTGCTGCTGCTGCCTGGAAGAGCCAAATGCATTTTTGCTGTCTTCTGTCTCAGCTGGCCCTGGAGGGCAGGCCTGGGTCTCCAGTGTGCGGGTAAGGTGTGTTGCACATAACTAAGCAGCTGTCCACAAATAAAAAACACTTAACGCAAATGGAGTGGTATTTTTCACTTGAGCTGGCTGGCCTGAGAGGAAGGAGAGTGTAATTATCAAATCAGTGTGACCTATAAGGTACACACATGAATGGCTCTGCAGTGCTGCTACAGATAAAGTCAGCCACCTAAGCTCTGCACAGATGCACTGAGTTTAACGCAGCATTGAGAATCAACCGCCTTTGGGCCAGTAGAGGGCCTGGTGACTGAGGTGGCTGAAGAGGCAGCATGGAAAGGGCAACTGGAATGTGACCCACTGTTGCTTCCGCTAGGTTAATTTAAACGACTCTTCCACAGGCCAGTCATGCCCTAAGAGAAAGAGAAGGCACTAAATTTAATTTGTGGAACACATATTGCTAATGACTAACTACTTGTACAGCACATACCACTGGTGCCTAAGGAGTCACCCAAGTGTCACAAAGCAGTTAATTCAGTTGCAAGACATAAATCCTGGTAACAAGAAATGACAGAAAATCCAATTTGATTGTCAGAGTCCAGACTGCAGGAGTCCCGAAACACAGCAAAGATGCTTTTAGATGTAAAATTTCCTTGGACATGGAAATTTAAGAACAGCATAGAAACCCATTTTTGGAGTAATTTTTCAAAGCCAGATCACAGTCACTGCTGGATGGACTGATGTTTACCGTGGGTCCTTTGCAGCAAGTATTCTAAGACAATTAGATGCAATATAGTCCTCAGCATTTTTCTGTCCTCATCCACCCAACTATGTTCTAAACAGAGTAAGTGGAAAGTGAGTTTAGCTGGGGTTATCGTACCCAGATACGTTTGAATGCCCACAGAACCTGAAATAACAAGCAGGTGGGCAACTACTTGTTGGCAAATAATACATGACTGTCAAAAGCCCAAATGTCACTGGAGTGATCTTTTCTTCAGATTTCAGGGACCAGCTGCTTTATCTACCAAGGCAGATAAAGATATAAATATGCAGACAAGTATGAGCACAAATTTACTTGTCATCATATCATATTATATCCTATTGTAGTATATTTCAACCCAAAGGGAAGAACTATAATGACATTCACTGTCTACATTACACAGTACATCTCTGTGTACGACTTTCTACATGTTTTTAATAAAACAGTATGTGTTTAACTCCAGAACCAACAGATAATCCGCATTTTTCCCAACCTCTGATGCACTGAGTTTCAGGGAAATATATGTGTCTAGAAGGCATTTTAAGTAATACACCTACCGATCTGGGCTGAAAATCCTCTTCTTTAAGTCCCCATTTGTCTTTGTGGTACTGATAATAGACCATGTTCTGTTTCATTACTTCATCTTTCTGGTCAAACAGAAGGTAACTAGCCGCACAAGAAGCCGCATTCTTCATGTCATTCACTAATTAATAAGCACACACAAAAAAATCCAGATAAGGTAAACGAACAAATCCCTACTATTATCTAAGCTCTGAAAAACTCAAATGGAAACAGAACCCATTTTCTACCGCCCCACCAGCTGCAGAGGAGAAAAAAAATGCCAGAAAGGATATGATATTTTTGGGTTCCGAAACAGGTAAGGCCATGATTAAAAACCAGGGACCTACCTCTAATGGTTTTCTACAAAAAACCTAACCAAATATCCTTCCCAGGTATCCCAGTATCAGTGAGGTATCAGCCCACTGCTTGGTGATCCCCACTGGGGCATTTATTTAAAAAAAAAAAAAATTAAAAAAAAAACCTTCTTTGTACTAGAATTAACAGAGAGGGAAGAGTCAATGTGTAAAACATGTAGTCAAACAACATAAGCAAAAGCCATTAATGACTTGATGCTACGTGGCTGGATGTGTCTTCCCTTTGATGCTGGAGCCTGCAGGAGTAGCTGTAAGGGCTACATGTATTCTTCACAGTGCAAGTAGTTCCTCAAGAAACCACAAAAGTCACTAAATTATTTACCTATCAGATATGAAATCACTGAGCACCAGAACACTGCAATTTCTGTTAAGTGGTCCCCTCTTTCTTCAAAACCCATTTAGCCCCATGTGCACCATTCTAACAGGATTATAAGAATCCACTAGGAAAAAGCAAATGGTATGAGACACTCTGTAGATTTGTCCATGGAAGAAATTCTGAATAGTAAACTGAAAATTGAGTATTTATTCAACAGAATAAGCTGTGTTATGTTAAATGTGCTGTCTTGAAGCCACAAACTTTCTTCTAACTGAATGAGTCAGAAGTTTAAGAAACTTAAGAGCTATACATTCAGCTGCTTAGAAACCATGTGGGCCTGACAGCTTGACCACCGTGGCTTTTGGCACAAACCATGGGGTTTTTGTACACAGGTGTACAAAATGGCTCCGTGTCACTGCATGTGTCCCAATGTATAGGAAGTGACTGACACTGTTCACCCTAACATGTTGTATTACGAGTTATTTCAAAAAGGCAGAAGAGTTGGTCTAAAATACGTATGATGAACATTAATTACTTATATGAACATTTATCATTTATATGAAACTCTGAAAAGTGTAAGCAACTTGAGCTGGCAGTAGGTATCATATAAAGAACAAAGGGCAGTGATGGATCAGATCACACTTACTCTGCAACTGCCTTGTTTCTCCAACACCCAAGTGGAGATGAGTCACAACCACGCGTAACTTAAAACAGAGGGGCCTGCCCTGGACAAAATCCAGCCCTTATAGAACTTAAGTTCAGCAATTTATTTTGTCATGGACAATTTTATAAGCACCGGCTTTATACATAATCTTTATCTCCCAGGTCTGTTAACTACAGTTATACAGTGAGAAAAAGATGCCAGGCAGCTCAGCCTTTCTGTCCCAGAAAAGGTTAAATGCAGATTCTGAAGGCCACTATTTACATTCTAAAACATTATAACTAGGGGGAAAAGATTATGAATGCAAACTGTCCCACATCATCCCAATGTTATTTAAGCAAATTAAATCACTACTTACATTTGTAATAAGCAAACTGCAAGTAATGGTACATGGTGGCCACAAATTTCTCAACAACAAAGCCTCCTATAATGGGTGTCAGATTGCTCTCACATTGCACTTTGCATGCAAGGACTTCAATATAATGATCTAGAAGGAAGAAATCAAGAATACAAGATATGGATAGTGCACAGTGAATTGTTATAACCCCTCCCATCAGCTACCCATTAAAATTAGGCCTTATAATGCTCTCCTGGGTCCTGTGCATCTGGATTTTCCTGCTTGGAAGTACTGAGCATCTATGACTCCATCTGAAGTACATATCAAGTATTGGTACTCAGCGCTCCTGTAAAAATCAGTGTGGTCTGGACTTGAAATGTATCAAAGCTGCAATTCCAGAGAACTGAGCAGTTAGGTTTCACTGACACCTACAGGCAGTCTGTGGTGGTAGGTTTTATATAGAGTGTTACGGAGTATCGCATTGTTTCCTAACTGAACTTAACAGTGCTTTTTTTTTTTTAATTTTGAAAGCCTTTGCAATTTCCTTGAATTATTACATGAATAAGGTTCACATACTGCTGAGTACAACTATGTCACAGAGAAATACAGCAGGTGATTGCAAAATAAACCTCTAGAGATGGCCGCATTTTGTGCCTGCAGTTTGGATGTTCTAAAAGAGAATGACACAAATACGCTGCTCACTACAGAACAACTTTCATCCAGGAATGTTCAAGTTCACAAGCTTACCCGGTCTACAAAAGCTTGCTACAATGGGATAGGACTAGAGGTGACCTTATCTTCAAGAAAGTACATTCCGAGAGAGCATTCCATCAAAGAATTTCAAGCGTTTTCAGGATATATCACAGTAGACAAGAAAACCGAACAGAAAATTTTAAAGGCTTAGTTTCCCTGTTAGCCACACTTGGCAGGTGAAAGCAAGTTATCTAAGCTTGTGCAGCAAGTCTCTGAGCAAGGCAAAAGAACAGCAAAGGCCCCTTCCCCTGTTTTTATCTCTGACAACTCCTAACATGATGAACTAAAAATTAAGAACTTAAAAAATAAGCAGAATTCAAGCAGTTTTCAGTGAATCTAATAAACTCCTATGGGCCCAAACTGAGCAGGGGGCACGATGTGCATTTCACACTGCAAACTGAGGAACACGACTTTGGTAGCCAATCCCACAGATAAAGTGAAATGCACTTTTGGGACATCTTTACTTACTGTTTCCTAACCGCTCACCTGCAATGGAAAGGTAGAAGTCTTTAAAATCCTTGATCTCTCGGGAACCTTCACAGGCTGCTGTACAGTCATCATAGGCTTTGAAGAAATCAGGAAGAGCCAGTTCCATGTCTGAGATAGATGTTCTCCAGTTGTCACCGTTGTATGCTCTCACAGCCCTGACAAAGAGATTCTGAAAAATTGGCAGGAATAAAAACCAGCAGGAACTCATCTGTGGAAAGGTGTGTATAAATTCAAATACAGGAAACTATACCTTCGCATTTCTGCATTACTTTATAAACTGTTATCCAATTAATACGAGGACAACAAATACAGACGGCTAACGGATTTTATCAGGTATTTCCTAGAGAACAGAGCACGTAATTCCATTTCACATCAACAGAAATGTGGACAGAGGGAAGAGAGTAAGTCTAAAGCACAAGTTTTGATGGAGATTTTCAATGGAGTCTTAACACCAAACTTCAAAGTTATTTTAAGCTGTGCCACTACAGCACTCATGCATTTGACTAACTCTGTTCCCCTACTTAACTCCATGTAATGGGTTTGCATGGCAAGGTTTTGG